AGAAAAACGTTTTCGCTTTATGAATTGGAAATTTCCGTGACAGAGTATATGTGTGTATTTGTTCTTGAATTATCGTAGAAGAGAGAGAGTATTAATAGATTTATTGCACACATTAATCAAAATTGCCAGTCATTATCAATATTGCCAGTACAAAATTATACATTACTATTTTTTTCTTGGAGTGATTAGAATCTTTTTTCTCGAAGAACCTAACGGTACGGTTTACAATTTGAGAAATCATATTTTAAAAACCACTTAAAGAGTCGATTTAAATGATGAGACAAATTGGCGATCAAAAACGCATCAGCATAACTTGAAAACTCATTTATGTCATTATTCTTATTGCAAAGCACCATTGCGAAACGCGCGCTAATTTCGTTCGCCTTCGACTTTGTCGCGCATCGAAGCTCTTTCTCGTGACTTTTCTTCATCTTATCGGTCGATGTTTGCACGCCACATTCTAAAATGTTTCGTTGTTTCAACTTATTATGGCTATTCGATGTTCGACGACTATGCGATTTGCGACACGAATAAATTGTCTTTCTTTGCTCGGTGAAAGCCAAGATGACGTTTGCGGTCATCGAATGTTTTACGAATAACGCGGGCCTATTCTTTTCAGCTGCATCCACCTTTTACTCTGCGAGATTAAGAAAGGAGAATGAAATCACGAGGGAAAGAACAGAGATCTTGCGTCTGTTTCTTGCGAATCTTTCCCAGCAGTATTGAAACAATGCCAAGTCGCATAAACCATTTCGGAAACAGGTGCAAATGCTTCTTATTGGAATTTAGATTCCACGAGCTATTAAAAAAATCAAATCGAAGCCAATACGAGTCTGAAGGCGCGAATTTGCGGTAATATCATGTACTTTTAACGATTTCTACTCTCTAAATTTGAATTAAAATGAATAATAATTGATATCGATCCCAAATATGCTACTGGGTAATTAGTGAAATTCAATTAAAAATCAATGAAATATGGAATTTTTAAGCTAATTCTTCCTAGCTAACTTTTAGTATACGTTCAATGGTATTGGAACTGACACGCAAATATCGGTATTTTAATTATATATTGCTCAAACTTCCTTTCTTTTTCAATTAAATTTCACTGATTATCCAATTGTATACTTGGGACTGATATCAGTGATTATCCGCTGATTCAGATTTAGAAAGTAATTGAATTCCATTATGCAATCTGAATTAATTTATAGCTGATATATATTTGATATGCTA